AGATATTAGCACTAAGCTCCCAGGGAGCACAAGTCCTATTTATCTTCATATGTCCCAGTTGCATCTACATAAATAGGTGCCGTGCCCTGTGAATCCATTGAATGACTAAATATACTTTAATTCATTTAATTACAAAAAAAGCAAGAAGCAGATCCTCAGTTGCTCCTTTTTGTTCACTAATGATTCCCAACTCCCAACCATCAGGCTGGCTCCAGCTCAGTCTAGAAAAGTTCTGTTCCGGCCGGGCATGGTGGCTCACTCCTATAATCCCAGCACTTTGGGAGGCTGAGGCAGGTGGATCACCTGAGATCAGGAGTTCAAGACCAGCCTGACCAACATGGAGAAACCCTGTCTTTACCAAAAACACAAAATTAGCCAGGTGTGGTGGCGAATGCCTGTAATCCCAGCTACTCAGGAGGCTGAGGCAGGAGAATCACTTGTCCTGGGGAGGTGGAGGTTGCGGTGAGCCAAGATAGCACCGTTGCACTCCAGTCTGGGCAACAAGAGTAAAACTCTATCTCAAAAAAAAAAAAGAAAAGAAAAGTCCTGTTCCCTTGTTCCCTTCCCAACTCTTGTTCCTTTGACCAACATGGTGAAACCTCATACTACTAAAAATACACAATTGGCCGGGCATGGTGGTCCGTGCCTGTAATCCCAGCTACTCAGGAGGCTGAAGCAGGAGAATAGCTTGAACCTGGGAGGCAGAGGTTGCAGTGAGCCGAGATCACGCCATTGCACTCCAGCCTGGGCAACAGAGGGAGACTTTGTCTCAAAAAAAACAAGAAGAGCCGGACAAGGTGGCTCACGCCTGTAATCCCAGCACTTTGGGAGGACGAGGCGGGTGGATCACGAGGTCAAGAGATCGAGACCATCATGGTCAACATGGTGAAATCCCGTCTCTACTAAAAATACAAAAAATTAGCTGGGCATGGTGGCCCATGCGTGTAATCCCAGCTACTCAGGAGGCCGAGGCAGGAGAATTGCCTGAACTCAGGAGGCGGAGGTTGTGGTGAGCCGAGATCGCGCCATTGTACTCCAGCCTGGGTAACAAGAGCAAAACTCCATCTCAAAAATAATAATAATAATAATAATAATAAATAAATAAATAAATAAGAAATTAAAAAAAAAAACAAAAAGAAAAAACATAAATACATAACTTGATAGGTGCAGCAAACCACGGTGGCATGTTTACCTATGTAACAAACCTGCAGGTTCTGCATATACGTCCTGGAACTTAAGTTAAATTTAATAAATAAATAAATAAGTAAAGGGCCCCCAAAGGCTTGAAGATAAGAGAATTATGGGATCAGGAGCACGTTTCAGCAGGACCGGTTTGGATGGTGTATGTGGGAGAGATGGCAGAAAACAGAGGCTGCAAGTCAGCTGAGGTTTACACAGTAGTTCCCATCAGCCCTATGTCAGCCTTAGGCCATGTCACGATGTGGCCATTGACCCTCCTCTCTGGGATTTTCCATCTGTGGACTGTGCCACTACTTCTCTTCTCAAACTTAAAGCTGAATACCCCTTGTTCTCAGAAGGAAGTCAGCACTTGGGGAACCAAGAATTTAGAGGGACAGACTGAGTATGACAGACACAGCATGATGGACCAGAAGAGCAGGGTATAAGATAGATGAGGAGGAGGAAGTTCCAGCAGAGTTTGTTTATGGAAAAGCTAAGTGATACCCTAAGCTATTTAGCCTTTCCTCACGCTGGAAGAAACTTCTCAGCAAACCCTTCTCACACAAAGGCCAGACAGAATCCCAGGGTTTTGCTCCTTGGCCAACACTCTTGGTCTGAGTGTTAAGCATGTGCTTCAGACTTCTGCCCTGAGTACTGAGGCAGAGGGCATCCCAGTGGGAGGAAGGCAGAGTTCAAGGGTCTCAGTCTGCAAGGAGACTGGTTAGACCCTCAGCACTGATGGTCATACAATTGGGGATCATGCTGGGCAGGGGGAAACAGGGAAGTGTAATGCTGGGGTGGCGGGTGGAACTGGACTGTGCAATCCGGCTTAGAATCTAGAGAGCAGTGGAGCTGGGCAGGTGGGAGTGGGAAGCAGGGGTAGCAGTGTGGGAACAGGGATGGGGAAGATTGAGGAGGGTTGGGGAGGGAGTGGTGGATGTTAGAAGCTGGCAAGGTGTTGGGCTTTCTCTACAAAGGACGAGGACAAACTTTTTTTTTTTGAGACAGAGTCTCACTCTGGTTGTTCCAGGTTGGAGTGCAGTGGTGCCATCTCAGCTCACCTCTCCCACCTTAGCCTCCTAGTAGCTGGGACAAAATATCACCCAGCTGATATTTTGTATTTTTAGTAGAGATGGGGTTTGGTCATGTTGCCCAGGCTGGTCTCAAACTCCTGGGCTCAACCCGCCTTGGCCTCCCAGAACACCGGGATTACAGGCATGAGCCACCATGCCCAGCCTGACAAACATCTTTAGAGAGTCACATTGAGCTGGGTGTAGCGGCTCACACCTATAATCCCAGCATGCTGGGAGGCCAGAGTGGGAGGATCACTTGAGCCCAGGAGTTCCAGACCAGCCTGAGCAACATGTCAAAACTCCCGCTCTACTAAAAATACAATTAGTCGGGCATGGTGCTGTGTGCCGGGAGTCCCAGCTACCTGGGAGGTAAAGGTGGGAAGATTCACTGAGCCCAGGAGGTCAAGGTCACAGTGAGCCATGATTGAGCCACTGCACTCCAGCCTGGGCAATAGAATGAGACCCTGCCTTAAAAAAAAAAAAAAATCTAGAACCAGAAATACCATTTGACCCAGCAATCCCATTGCTGGATATATACCCAAAGGATTTCAAATCATTTTATTATAAAAATGCACATGTATGTTTATTGCAGCACTATTCACAATGCCAAAGGCATGGAACCAACCCAAGGAATACTATGCAGCCATAAAAAGGAATGAGATCACGTCCTCTCCAGGGACATGGGTGGAGCTGAAAGCCATCATTCTCACAAACTAACACAGGAACAGAAAACCAAACACTACGTGTTCTCACTCATAAGTGGGAGCTGAAAACAATGAGAACACATGGACACAGGGAGGGGAACAACACACACTGGGGCCTGTCATGGGGGGTGGTGAGGTGAGGGAGAGCAACAGGTAGGACAGCTAAGTGTTGCGTTGACGGGGAGCAAACCACCATGGCAAGCATTTACCTATGCAATAAACCTGCACATTCTGCACCTGTATCCTGGAACTTAAAATAAAAATAAAATAAAATTTCAATTTAAAAAAAGAGCCAGCTGGGTATGGTGGCTCACACCTGTAATCCCAGCACTTTGGGAGGCTAAGGAGGGCAGATCATGAGGTCAGGAGTTTGAGACCAGCCTGACAAACACGGAGAAACCCCGTCTCTACAAAAAAATACAAAAATTCCCTGGGCACGGTTGTGGAGGCCTGTAATCCCAGCTATTCAGGAGGCTGAGGCAGGAGAATCGCTTGAACCCGGGAGGCAGAGGTTGTGGTGAGCCCTCCATTTGCCATTTGCACTCCAGCCTGGGCAAAAGAGCGAGACTCCATCTCAAAAAAAAAAAAAAAAAAAAAAAAATCCACACTGGGATCCTGCAAAGCACAGCCATCTCCTCCCCTTCCCAGCTTTCCACAAGCTTTCCCTCTTATTCAAGAGCATCAGGCCAAAGTCCAGGAGAAAGACCCTAAGACCCTAGCCAGAACCGTGCGCAGGACAAAAGAAATAGTGATAAAGGGTGTGGGGCAGGCAGGGCTCCAATACCCCGGAACCCATCTCTGACCAGTCTTGGTTTCAGGGAGCTCGGTCAGAGCTTGGGGGTGGAAGAGCCTTGGTGGAAGAAAGCTGCCCCACACCCCTCTCCTCCCGGCCTCTCCAGTCCGCATGAGTGTCTCAGGGCCACAGGAAAACACCATTCCCCAAACACAGGTCCGTAGGGAAGGGGCAGTGCCGATAATGAGGTTCATTTTATTTCATATTTACCTAAAAGTTCCAGAAGCCCTTGCTGACATTCTTGCTTGGGGCCCAGAATTTAAACTCCATCACTGCCCAGAGCCCTTGTTTTAGGAAAGAATGAGATGGCCCCTGTTGCATAACCCAGAGCTGGGTGGGTGTGGGTTGCTGAAGGAAACAGTCCCTCTTCCTCTCTCTCGTGAGGCTGGGCTAGGGGTGTTTGGGTGGGCGGGACGCTGCCTGGGAGAGGTGTGCGGGAAGCACTGGATGCTGACCCTTGGAGTTCAGGTGGGCAAGTAGGCAGGCAAAGACGCCCAGAGACCAGCCCTTCTCCAAAACCCCTTGGGCACAAGACAGCCTGATGTATCTAGAGAACCCAGTGGATGACTGGGAGAGAAGGGGACGGATTCGGGGAGAGGAGAGGAATGGAGGAGTGAGCTTACCCGAAGAAGGGAGATGGGAAGGGGGATGGGGTCTGCTTTCTGGCCACGGTCCCCAAGAGCATCCCGAATATGAGTTCCTCTCACTCTGTCCCTCTCTAGTTTCAACCTTTCCCTTTCTCCCAGCCAGTTCTCACTCTGCACACAGCCCTCTCCAATCCTTCCAGACTCCGCAGGCACCCACAATGCCAGGGTCTCCCACGGTTCATTCAAGGTGTATTCCTCCCCGTCTGGCTCCCCTCGGGCCCCTTTTCTCCATAGTCACATCTCGGGGGTGCTGTCTCTTGCCCTTTTCCCAGTTTTGCCCTTCCTCTCTTCCTCTCCTCCTCTGCCCTGGTCTGCTTCTCCCATCAGCAGTAGAATTTCCCAAGACCCCGTTATCCGCCCTCTCCATCTTTCCTCTGTCCCTACACGTAGGCCCACTCCTCTCGTGATGCACACACCATCTCTTCTCAGTTCCCTTTCAGCCCCCATCTTCTTCCTCCCCACCAGGTCCCTGCACGCCCGCGTCTTCCCACACTCACACTAAGTGGATTGCACTCCCGTCCTCCCCCCGCTTCCGCTCCTCTCCACCCTCCAGTCCCTCCAGCCAGCTGTACAGCTCCCAAATTCCGGGCGAGATTCCCGGGAACAAAGCAAGAAAAATCAGAGCAATTTGGGAAGTAAACAGAAACTGGAAAGGGAGGGGGAAAGAAGAGTGGGAGGACCCAGGTTGGGGGGGGCCTCCCCAGTCCCACCCAGTTTAGGGAATGCCCCGGCCCTCTCCCCCACCCCCCTTCACCTGGCTCTTAAAGGGCCCGGCCCCTGGCCGGTGGCTACTTAAGACAGAGGGGCGGCGGCGGGCAGCAGCAGAGTTGCGGCTGCTCTGGAAGAAGAGGACCGGGCACAAACCCTGACCATGACCCCCCACAGGCTGCTGCCGCCGCTGCTGCTGCTAGCTCTGCTGCTCGCTACCAGCCCAGGAGGCACCTTGGCGCGGTGCCCAGGCTGCGGGCAGGGGGTGCAGGCGGGTTGTCCAGGGGGCTGCGTGGAGGAGGAGGATGGGGGGCCGCCAGCGGAGATCTGCGCGGACGCTGAGGGCTGTCTCAGGAGGGAGGGGCAGAAGTGCGGGGTCTACACCCCTAACTGCGCCCCAGGACTGCGGTGCCACCCGCCCGAGAACGACGAGGCGCCTTTGCGGGCGCTGCTGCTAGGCCGAGGCCGCTGCCTCCCGGCCCGCGCGCCTGCGGGTGAGTCCGCGCCCCGCCCCTGCCCCGCCCACGTGAGACCCGCGTCCTCCAGGCAGGGTCCTGGGGAGACGGGAGTGGACGACCCTGCAAGCCTCTGCACCCTGGTCCTTGACGCTTCCTATCTTGGGGGGGCACATCTGTGTAGGGGAGAAGGGGTACTTCAGGAAGCTGGGGTGCCGCCAGGGGACCTGGCGATACAGCAGAAGGTGTCCGCATCCGGCCTTCTTTCTGCTCCATCAATTTGCCCTTGAAGGAGCACCCTTGCAGGTGGGAACTTGGGGGCAGCCAAGGGAGAAACGGAGGGTTTGGGGGCCATCCCCTGTGCCCCAGCAGGCCCAGCTCCTACAACCCTAGACGACTAAGCTGGGGAAAGGACCCAAATGTTGTTCTCAGCTTCCACTTGGAGAAAGAGGGAAGAGAACCTGAGACTTCGAATTTCTGCACACGCTGAGAAATGACTCCTTTCCTCCTAATACCGGTGTTGGAAGTACCTGAACAGGAGGGGTCTAGAACCGAAGAGGCCCCAAATCCAGAGTTGTGTTCGACTCGACTAGGGACTGAGGACAGGCTAGGACGTAGGGTGGGGGAGAGGGGAGAAAGAGCGAGGGGTGGGGAGATGGAATCTGCCAAATCGGGGTTATGATTTAAACCTGCTCAGAACCGTTGACCCATCCTACCCCACCCTGCTCCAGGGAGGAGAGCAGAAGCTGAGTCACTGAGTGGGTGGGACAGAAGTGAATCAGCACTGAAAACATGGGGGGCAGCGGGGAGACGGGGAGGGCAGGAAATGCAAACTGCTCATCCCAGAGGCTCTGAGTGCCTTCCCCGGGAAGAGATGGAAGAACGCGGGGTTCCTTCTGTCCCAGATGCGTGAGTGCAGGCTTCCGGCCGTCCTCCTAGAAGTGGGCTGCGTGGATGAGAGGAGGCAGTTTGGAGCTAAATGGTTGGGTGCTAAATGTAGGGAATGAAGGACAGGTTCTGGGGAGGCCGGGCGTCCTGAGGAAGAAGGATCAGACTCAGGACAGCAGGGGAAATGTCTTCTGGGTTATGAGTGGTAGTTAGCTGGGAGCTTGTCTTTGGCCATAGAGGGAGAGAGAGGATCCCCTTACGGGTTCTGATATCTGATTTGATATTAGGCAAATTCCAAGCAGTACATGCCTCCCTTCCTGCCTTTCCCTAGCCCTGACTTATTTCCTCACCCCTTCTCAGTCCTGAGCTCTCCCCGAACCCTCTGGAAACTTTCTCCAGAGCCAGGAACAACCTGCAGGTTGGAAGCCCCTCGTTTTCTGCACCATCTGAATCTACCCTCAGCCTATCTCGTTTAAGGGTTGAATGCATGTGCTCCTGGGACCAGCAGGGTTGAGCTGGCCTGAGCCACAGGGTACCAGAAGGGAGAGGTTCCCACTGCAGTACTCAAGAAGTAGCCACATCTCAAGCCTGGGAGGGGTGGGTTGAGTCACAGCAAGGTCACAGCAGGGACACACATTCCATTTGGGGCCATGTTGGCTCCCCTCCTGCGTCCGTTGCTCTTCCGCCCCATCTCCTGGGCTTCGTGCGTCCCCTTCTGGCCTCTAGGGGAACAGCCAGGTCTTTTCATTCAAAGCTCAAAGCCCCAAATAGTCCTGTGAATTTGTTCTCCGTTTTTCATTTATTATTTACTTAAACATTTTATTCATTTATCTAATATTTATTTATTTAGAGACGGAGTCTCACTCTGTCACCCAGGCTGGAGTGCAGTGGCACAATCTCGGCTCACTGCAGCCTCCACCTCCTGGGTTCAAGTGATTCTCCTGTCTCAACCTCTGGAGTAGCTGGGATTACAGGCGCCGCGACCGCGCCCGACTAATTTTTGTATTTTTAATAGAGACAGGGTTTCATCATGTTAACCAGACTGGTCTCGAACCCCTGACCTCAGGTGATCTTCCCACTTCGGCCTCCCAAAGTGCTGGGATGACAGGCATGAGCCACTGCACCTGACCAATAACTTATTTATTTTTCAGACAGGGTCTCACTCTGTTGTCCAGGCTGGAGTGCAGTGGCACAATCATGGCTCACTGCAGTCTTGGCTTCTGGGGCTCAAGCGATCCTCCTGCCTCAGCCTTCCAAGTAGCTGGGGATACAGGTGCACGCCATGGCACCTCGGTAATTTTTAAATTTTTTTGTAGAGATGAGGGTCTCATTATGTTGTCCAGGCTGGTCTCAAACTTCTGGACTTGAGTGATCCTCCCACCTCTGCCTCTCAAAGTGCTGATATTACAGACGGAAACCACTGCACCCAACCTGTTCTCCTTTTTTTTTTTTTTTTTCTTTTCAAAATACATCTCCCTTATAAGCCTTAAAAGCACTCTGGGAAATACTGGGAAATATCGTCAGGAAAAGTAATGTAACTATTTGTCAGAAAAAGAAGCTAGGGCCAGCATCATGCAACAACGGGGCATAAGGCCCACTCTTCCTTACTTCAGTAGGTGATGTGGGCAAGGTCTTTCTTCCGCATGGCTGATTTCTGGCCTCTCCTCCTTTCCTTCTGTAGTTGCAGAGAAGAATCCTAAGGAGAGTAAATCCCAAGCAGATACTGCCCGCCCGCAGGATGTGAACCGCAGAGACCGACAGAGGAATCCAGGCACCTCTACCACGCCCTCCCAGCCCAGTTCTGCAGGTGTCCAAGACACTGAGATGGTGCGTTTGGGGCTGGTAGGGAGCAGGAGGGGTGGGGAGCCCTGGAGACTTCCATCTGAGACTGGTTCCTTGGGCTTGGAGATGTCTCCATTGTCGGTCCTGGGTGCTTCCCTGGTGGGCCAGGGGGTTGGAGCTGAAAGCTGGGCTGGAGCGGCTCTAAGCTGCCTGCTTTCCCTCCCCCAGGGCCCATGCCGCAGACATCTGGACTCGGTGCTGCAGCAACTCCACACTGCGGTCTACCGGGGGACCCAAACCCTCTATGTGCCCAACTGTGACCATCGAGGCTTCTATCGGAAGCGGCAGGTGAGACTATTCCTCCCCTCCCCCTGCTCCAGTAGAAGGCTTCTGCCAGGGAGTGGGGGCAGTGGGGCTTCCATAGCTGCATAATTAAGACACTGCCCCATCTTTAAGGATCTTCCAACTTTAGGAGAGCATAGAAAATAATATAATTCGTTATGTAAACATACAGAGTAATCAAGCACACGCCGAAGTAGAGAACTGAAACTAAAGGACTGGTCTAAAGTTGTGGCCCTCAAGCTTGAGGCATCAGAGTCCCCTGGAAGGCTTACGCACAGCGGATGGCTGAGTGCCACCGGCAGCACTCCCGATTCAGGAGGTGTGGGGTGGGGCCTGAGAATATGCATTTCTAACATGTTCCCGGGTGATGCAGATTTGGGAACGCCATTTTGAAAACTACTGTTCCAGGCCGGGCGCGGTGGCTCAAGCCTGTAATCCCAGCACTTTGGGAGGCCGAGGCGGGTGGATCACGAGGTCAAGAGATCGAGACCATCCTGGTCAACATGGTGAAACCCCGTCTCTACTAAAAATACAAAAAATTAGCTGGGCATGGTGGCGCGTGCCTGTAATCCCAGCTACTCAGGAGGCTGAGGCAGGAGAATTGCCTGAACCCAGGAGGCAGAGGTTGCGGTGAGCCGAGATCGCGCCATTGCACTCCAGCCTGGGTAACAAGAGCGAAACTCCGTCTCAAAAAAAAAAAAGAAAAGAAAACTACCGTTCTAGGCTAGCAGGATGCAAACAATTTATAGGTTGAAGAGGGGGAACTAAGGAGAGGGAACCCAGTGGGCCTCGCTGTCCCGATGGGACGCTCAGGTGTTTCTGCATCCTCAGACTCAGGAGTCCCCTCCCATTCTCCTGCTGGAAGCCTCTGGCCTCATCCCTGACCTGTGTGCCTCTCTTTCCAGTGCCGCTCCTCCCAGGGCCAGCGCCGAGGTCCCTGCTGGTGTGTGGATCGGATGGGCCAGCCCCTGCCAGGGTCTCCAGATGGCAACGGAAGTTCCTCCTGCCCCATTGGGAGTAGGCGATAAAGCTGGAGGGAGGGTAGGGTGGGGGGCTGCAGAGCTACTGGCAGGAACATGGAGCTTCCATCACTCGACAAATAACCCACAACCCACCTGCAGGCCCTGCCCGATGGTTCCCCTCACACTGGGCCTTTACATATGCAGTTGGAAAGAGTGTCAGTGTTGGCTGGGTGTCAATAAAGCTGTGCTTGGGGTTGCTGGCTTGTGTCTCTCTGTCTACCTTTCACAGTTCTGGAGCCCCTGACCCTCTCTGTGCCCTACTAAGGCTCACCCACACATTCCTCCTTTCCCATGGATACCTCCAGTCCTTCCTGCGACAGCCACTGGCAGAGGCTTCAAGCCATCAAGCCTCACAGAGCTGCCCGCCAGGAGGTGGGAGTGGGAAGGGGAGATACTGAGATCACGGCCTTAGTCGGAAGTTGTGACCTTGTTTCTAACACTGATCTTTGGACCCAAGGGGAGGGGAAGGATTAATAGTTAATCCCAGCAGGAGCCCAGCAGAGAGGAACTCTCAAAGCACATACCTTCTGTCACTTCCTACTAAAAAAGGAAGGAAATTATTACTAAGATATGAGCTCATCTCATGGCCCTGAACCATGTGATTTTACCTGGACTAACTCATTCTGAGCTTATGATAACCTTGTGATATGACGATTTTTGAGCCCATTTTTAGAGGAGGAAACTGGCTTAACATTTTGGGTCACTTGCCTGAAATTATACAGCTGGTAAATGACAGAGGGAGGTTTGCATCTCCTTCTTCTGTGTGTGACTTCTTCTTCCTTAGGTGCTGAAAAAGTGTTGAGCCTTCTTTCTGCCTCCAGGCTCACCCAAGCAGGTGTCAGGAAGTGCAGACATTCAGGGGCCCTGGCACTCAGCCCTGAGTATCACGTGCCAACCCCATCAGACTATTACCACGTGCATCAATCACACACCTTGTGGTGAAAGGGAGCTGAAAGCACTGATACAGAAAGACGTTTCTGACTCCTCCCTGACCTTCAGCCTGCTGGGGGAGAGACTGGAAGGCCAGCCATGCTAGGGGACAAGCTTCTGAGAAGCGAAGTTCCCCTCCCCATGACATACCCAGCCACCTTTCCTGTTGGGTGCGGTAGCACCCTGGGAGCTGGGTATCTAGATGATGGTGGAGGTATTAGCGATGTGGCCATCCGGCGACAGGCAGCAGAGAGGCCCGAATCTGAGAAGCTCTGCCCTCCGGATCAGATAACCTATCGCACTCCCAGAGGCCCCCTCCTCCTGAAAGGACTTTAGTCTTTGGAGCTGTCACCTGAGCTGAGCAGGACAAGAGCTCTGCTGGGCCGGCCACGCAGCGAAGGAAGGAGGAAACCCAGGCCAGGGCTGCCTGCTGCCCGCCGGAGACCCCACCATGGAGCCAGGCGCGGCCCGTCTGCGTCTGCAGAGGACAGAAGGGCTGGGAGGGGAGCGGGAGCGGCGACCCTGTGGAGACAGAGATGGGGAGTGGCGACCCTGTGGAGACAAAGATGGTGAGCCGCCCTTGGGGGGGTGCAGAAGGCACCAGCGGGGCAGGGCAGGGCGGGGCAGGGCGTGGTTGGGGGAGATGGCGCTGCGGAGAGGAGGCTCCAACTGCCTGATGGCCTAATGTCAATCCTTCCTGCGGTCCTGAAAGGCCAAGGAAGCCAGACCCTGGCCTCCACCCTGTGCCACCCATCTGGGAGATGGAACAGAAAAGAGCTATTCAGAGCTGCGGCCTGGCCTTATCTTTCTGACACTTTAACCCCAGAGGGTGAACAGAGTAGCTTCCCGTTCCCTGAGTGCCCTGTTTCCAGTAATGTCCCCAGGCCCCCTGCTTGCCTATGGCCTCCTCACCACTGGCAACAGCAACTTCCCCTTCTGGTAGCCCCACCCATGATACTAGATATTGGCTGGTTGGGGTGCAGGGCGACTGCTGAGCACACAGAAAGTGTTTCCTGAAAACCAGATGCCTCTGGGTCCGCAGAACCCCAACTCCTCCCTATTGACTGTGCCTTTGATACCTCCTCCCAGGAAACACTGAGACGCACAAAGCCCCGGACTTGGTGCAATGGACCCGACACGTGGAGGTGAGGGACGTCAGAGGTCAGAGGTCAAGCGGACAGATCCACAGTAGCAGGAAGGAGTGAGGCTTGGTGATAAAGATGATTTCTTTTTTTTTTTTTTTTTTTTTTAAGACAGAGTCTTGCTCTGTCGCCTAGGCTGGAGTGCATTGGCACAATCTCAGCTCACTGCAACCTCCGCCTCCCAGGTTCAAGCAAGTAGCTTGTGAGCGCCACCAGGTGTGGCTAATTTTTTATTTTTATTTTATATTTTTAGTAGAGATGGAGGTTTTACCATGTTGCCCGGGCTGGTCTTGAACTCCTGACTTCAAGTGATCCTCCCACCTTGGCCTCCCAAAGTGTTGGGATTACAAGTGTGACCCATGGCACCCAGCCTGAAGACTTGTTGTTTTTTTTGTTTTGTTTTGTTTTGTTTAAGGTAGTATCACTCTGTTGCCAGGCTGGAGTGCAGTGGCATGATCACTGCAATCTCTGCCTCCCGAGTTCAAGTGATTCTCCTGTCGCAGCCTCCCAAGTACCTGGGACTACAGGCGCATCCTACCACGCCTGGCTAATTTTTTGTAATTTTAGTAGAGACAGAGTTTCACCATGTTGGCCGGGATGGTCCCTATCTCCTGACCACATGATCTGCCTGCCTCGGCCTCCCAAAGGGCTGAGCCACTGCACCTAGCCAAAGACTTGTTCTTGAGTGCAAACATCAGGTTAGAATTAAGGGTTGGCCGGGCGCGGTGGCTCAAGCCTGTAATCCCAGCACTTTGGGAGGCCGAGGCGGGTGGATCACGAGGTCGAGAGATCGAGACCATCCTGGTCAACATGTGAAACCCCGTCTCTACTAAAAATACAAAAAAACTAGCTGGGCGTGGTGGCACGTGCCTGTAATCCCAGCTACTCAGGAGGCTGAGGCAGGAGAATTGCCTGAGCCCAGGAGGCGGAGGTTGCGGTGAGCCCAGATCGAGCCATTGCACTCCAGCCTGGGTAACAAGAGCGAAACTCCGTCTCAAAAAAAAAGAAAAAAGAAAAAAGAAAAAAAAAAGAATTAAGGGTTAAGGCCTGGTGCCATGGCCCGCACCTGTAATCCCAGCACTTTGGGAGGCTGAGACAGGTGGATCACGAAATCAAGAGATCGAGACCATCCTGGCCGACATGGTGGAACCCTGTCTCTTCTAAAAATACAAAAATTAGCTGGGCATTGTGGCGGGCGTCTGTGGTCCCAGCTACTTGGGAGGCTGAGGCAGGAGAACTGCTTGAACCTGGGAGGCAGAGGTTTCGGTGAGCCAAGGTCACGCCATTGCTCTCCAGCCTGAGCGACAGAGCAAGACTCTGTCTCAAAAACAAAAACAAAAACAAAAAAGAATGAGGGCTAAGATGGAGGGGTTTGAAGCACAAGTCCTGAGGGCAGGGACCAAAAGCCAGCCAGTAGATAGAGTTTTCCTGTTAGTGCAGCTGGAGGTCAGGAGTGAGGAGTGAAGATCAGAAGTGAGCAGGCTGGAAGTCGGACCCAGGGAGTGGAAGCCTTGTCCTGCTGTCACTCCCTGATCCTCACTGCCGCCCCGGGAAGCCAGAAGGAAATCGGCTCTGGACAGGAATCATGGCTTCATCTTTCACAGCACTTAGCACAGTGGGCTCCTTCCCCGCCAGCGAACCCATCATCATGGATCTCCCCACTGATGCCTGTCCTTCCCCCCACAGGCCCACCCCTGCTGACCCTCCATCCCTAGTTTTTTCTTTTAAAAAGCACTGTGCCTGGCATAGGTAGAAACTCAGGGGGTGTCTGTTGAATGAAAGGATGGCTGACTGGAGGGACAGTGGGCTCTGCCCTGGCTTTGTCCCGTAGGCTGTGAAGGCACAATTGCTGGAGCAAGTGCAGGGACAGCTGAAGGAGCTGCTGGATCAGGCCATGTGGGAGGCCATACAGTCCTACCCATCACAACACAGACCTCTGCCCCCTGCTCCCCCAGATTCCTTGAGCAGGTGAGTCTGGCAAACAGCTTCGTGGGCTCCTCTGTAGCAAGGATCATGAGCTATAAACATCACATTATGCGCCCTCACCAGCCTTGGCAGGACCACGACTCCAGCCTTCCCTCTTTGCCCTTTATCTTGTCTTCCCAACACTGGCTTCCACCTACTGGGCTGCACTCTGCCCTGGCCCTGACCTTCCACCCTCTAGCCCTGACCCTGACCTTCCCCTACCACTCCCCTTGGCTCCCAAGTACTGACCTTCTGCATGGTATTGCCCTCTGCCAACTGACTTCTTCCTGACCCTGAACAAACATCTCAATTCAGGACCCAGGAGCCATCCTTGGGAAAACAGAAAGTTTTCATCATCCGAAAGTCCCTGCTTGAGTAAGTCGGGGTGATGACAGGTAATGGGAGGAAAAGAAAGGGCTTGGGCTGGGGGTCAAGGTCACCTCATTTCTCATCCCTAGGCTCTAGGTGGTTTGTGGGGAGGACTTGGAAGGGGTTTCTAAGGTGTGGGTCCCCCATTTGCCCTGGGCATGGCTGTGGAAGAAAGGCCTTTAGCCGGAGGTTCTGGATCGCTAGTCCCCATGCCTCATGTGTAGTGTCAGCTAGTTCACCCAACCCTGAGGACCCTCCCACACTGACCTTCAGGCCCCTGTCCCTCCAGTGAGCTGATGGAGGTGCAGCATTTCCGCACCATCTACCACATGTTCATCGCCGGCCTGTGTGTCTTCATCATCAGCACCCTGGCCATCGACCTCATTGATGAGGGCAGGTAGGTCCCCCTCCCACCTGGGATAGGCACACCTATCTGATGAGACCCTCTGGGTCCTCAGTGCCCCACCTGCCCTTGGCACAAGAGGACACACCTTCCCCCTTTGATTATTGGCCATGGACCAACATTGCTGCCAACAACCTTCCCACCTGCAACTCTCTCTGGGACCTCTTCCTTCCTCAGCCTTGGTTGGCCCTTGGCTAATTTTTGTATTTTTAGTAGAGACGAGGTTTTAATACATTGGCCAAGCTGGTCTCGAACTCCTGACCTCAGGTGATTGGCCTGCCTAGGACCTCCCAAAGTGCTGACATCACAGGTGCAAGCCACTGTACCTGGCCATAGTTTCTGAAACATAATTTTTCTCTCTGCAGTTTTCTATTTTTATTAAAAAACCACTCATGGTAGGACTGGTTTGCTTTATTATACTTGGCTTAATTATTTGTATACAGTGCAGCAAGAATAACTAGTTTTCATATAGGCCTTTTAAATTGGCTTTGATGCAACTTTGTTCCACAGAAGGAATCTGAGATAAGACTTTTTAAAGCCAAGCCCAGCCATGGACTTGTACCAATAAATACTTATGAGTTGGGTGAACTCCTCTCCGCTTGAGGTTCCAAGATAACTTGGGGTTCCTGGCCTGTCAGAAAATGACATTCTTTACCTACCACAGAGCAGAAACCCTGTGCAGGGACTGTGTATACAAAATATGAGGCCAGTTTCCAAGGGTTTTATTGGCTTCATAAGTCAAGTTTGATTCCTTAAAGGAGAACACACACACACAAAAGAGAACACACCATTCCAGTCAAAGCCTTGGCAAAATAGCTAGCTTTTCCAATTGTGTCCTGTTACAAAAGAAAACAGATTCTTATTGCACTTAGGCAAATAACTGTATTATAAATAGTTTCCAAGTTCTGGAGAAATCAGGTAGAGAGAAACAAATATGCTCCAAATTTTGTTCATAGGAGTATACTTTAATTAATTGTTACAAGCTGTTAATAGCTCAAAAGAAAAGTTTCCTTGACTCTGAAAAGCAAAACAAAGGATTAGCAACATTTTAAGCAAAAAGTCAAAAAGATCACTTCAGTGTCCTATTAGTTCAGTTCATGCAGTTAATTCCTGTCCTGATTGATATTAATGAATATTTTAGCTCTTAAAGAGTACTGAACATTTTTCCTCTATTCCTCTATTCTGATAATTTCTAAAGTTATCAGAAGCCTGCATTCAAGAGCACTGGTTAGAGCTTTATAGCTAATTATAAAACCACCTTCTAAAGAGGACCAAAACAAGACAACAATTGTTTATGGACAAGAAAAAGTTTTAGGGTAGCCATAAAGACCCAATTGACAAGGAAATCTGTTACCTCTGTGGCACACAACAATTTAACATAACAATGGCCAGGTGCCATGGCTCATACCTGTAATCCCAACACTTTGGGAGGTTGAGGCAGGTGGATCACGAGGTCAGTAGTTTGAGACCAGCCTGGCCAATATGATGAAACTCCATCTCTACTAAAAATAGAAAAATTAGCCAGGTGTGGTGGCACATGCCTGTAGTCCCAACTACTTGGGAGGTTGAGGCAGAAGAATTGCTGGAACCCGGGAGGAAGAGGTTGCAGTAAGCTGAGATCTCATCGCTGCACTTCAGCCTGGGGAACAGAGCAAGACTCTGTCTCAAAAAAAAAATATGTGTGTGTGTGTGTATATATATATATATACACACACACACATATGTATATATAATTATTATTGATAGCGTACACCAAGATATACCAGAATTATTATAGGAGTCTTTCATAACTTTGTAACACATACCAATAACATATTTATACAAATATAGCCCAAAGAAAACCAAACTTCATTTTATATTTGACAATGCTTCCTGTATGATTTTTGATACCAAAATGAGCCAAATTTCGCCTTTACATTAGTGTACTATTAATGTTAAACCCAATTATTTATTTATTTATTTATTTTATTTTTTGAGGCAGAGTCTCACTCTGTCACCCAGGCTGGAGTGCAGTGGTGCAATCTTGGCTCACTGCAACCTCTGCATCCTGGATTCAAGTGATTCTTTTGCCTCAGCCTCCCAAGTAGCTGGAATTACAGACACGTGCCACCACACTCAGCTAATTTTTTTGTGTGTATTCTTAGTAGAGATGGGGTTTCACCATGTTGGCCAGGCTCATCTCAGACTCCTGACCTCAAGTAATCCACTCACCTTGGCATTCCAAGTGCTGGGAGTACAGGCATGAGCCACTGTGCCTGGCCTTAAACCTAATTCTTTTTTTTTTTTTTTTTTTTTTTGAGACGGAGTTTCGCTCTTGTTACCCAGGCTGGAGTGCAATGGCGCGATTTCGGCTCACTGCAACCTCCGCCTCCTGGGTTCAAGCAATTCTCCTGCCTCAGCCTCCGGAGTAGCTGGGATTACAGGCACGTGCCACCATGCCCAGCTAATTTTTTGTATTTTTAATAGAGACGGGGTTTCACCATGTTGACCAGGATGGTCTCGATCTCTCAACCTCGTGATCCACCCGCCTCGGCCTCCCAAAGTGCTGGGATTACAGGCTTGAGCCACCGCGCCCGGCCGACATGCTTACCCAATTTTAATGTTTGATCATAAGGTAAGATTTTTATAGACTTTTTATAACCCTTTACAATTTTTGCTAAAGAGCAGATTAGTGCTCTAAGGGAAACCCGTTGTGCTTTTATTTTAATGCTCAATTTACAGAAAAAACTGGATGATACCCCTTTAACTTTAGCCAATATGTTTAAACACAGTATTTCCTTTACAAGCAACCTTCCACAACTTGCTTCAACATTCGTCTTTGTCTTATCCAACTTAAAACAATCCTTAAATCTCTTAATCTAGGCAAAATCCACATGATCATGCCTCCTAACAATCTTTTTACCGAAAGTCTATTTTACTTTCCTAATATACCTTGCATATAAATTGTTTCTTCAATAGTGTTAAATACATATTACACTGTTAACTCTTAGCAAAACTTTACTTTTGGTGAAAACCTTGGTAAGTCTGGGATTTTAATTATGTACTAGGTGTGGAGCCTACAACCTAGAGAGAAGTGCAGATAGGGTCTGACTTATTCCAGCGTCTAACACTATGTGTCCTAGGCAACCTGCACAGCTAAGAGTCATAAAGCATTTAGGAGGCCTAATCGCCTTTAAGTTGCACAACATTTCTTGTATAAATTCCCTTTCATAAATTCATTCATGACTTACACAGACAATCTCTGACATACCTTGACTAGAATCTAACGCTCCAAAATAAATTGAACAATTTTTAAGTCAAAGAAGCAGGTTTTATGACCTAGAGCATTTAGCAAACCTAATATTTGACCTGCATATTTTAGACCAAATATTTACATTTTTGAAGATATTTTTATTTTACCACTAATCTTTAAAACTCTATTTTTATAACTTTCTTTATGTCTCTCTTACTTCCTGTGGTTTTTTTTTTTTACCTTGTTTTATATATAACCTTTACATAAGCTTTGAATTAGACAAAAATTAGTCACCCTTTACAAAGGACACAACTTTTAGAAAGAATGTTTTCCTACGATATATTTTAATTGGAAAATATCCAAATAATGAAATATCTGTTGTTTAATTTAACTTTAGATTTTAAATTATGACAAGTTTCTTTATGAGTATTTATCCCATTACATTTATCTAATTATTTATTTTAATCATTTACCATCTTCCTTCTAACCTCCAAGCTATTCTTGTTCATTAACTTAATTTATAGTGTAGCTTTAAAACAGAGATGGTAACAGTTCTTTCCCAGAACAAACTTCCTTCATGTCTGTGGACTAGACTGCCTAAAGCCACAAGAGTGGAAGTTGTGTATTTTACTAAATAATTCAAGATGTGGCTATCTTCATTAAACCAATATTAATGTTTCACTTATTAAAAATTACACAAGCAAAGATTATCCTGTTTGGGGCTGAGTTACAGTTTTGCAGCCTCTTTGCCAAATTTTGACACCTTATACTATTTGGCAGAGATAAGTATGAAATTGCTCAATCAATAAATGCAAACAAAAATGTATGCTGGCAACTCTTAAGACATTTCTAATATTACTTTACCAGTAATTTTTAAAGCTTGCCTCATGTATTGAAGATTTTATTTAAGTCACATAAACTTGAAAAAGCATTCGACTAGTCTTTCCTTTTTTCTGTTAAAGTATTTAAACACTTTTATTTTTCTTTGAGCCAATTAATTAGAACTCTTTTATATATTTTCAGTAGCAAAACATGCTGTACACAAGACATAAATACACAGATGTATTAGGTATGCCAATAGAAGAACATTTTATAGATTCGTAAGATCTCCTTTTTCCTTTCTTTTAACTGGATCTTTGTGTTCTGGGCAGAGCTCACACTGAATCCTGGGTTTTCAAAAAGGAAGAATTATTTTGAAGGTAGACCATGTGAGGCTTTTACAGTGCATTTAAAAATTATTTTCTCCCTGGCCAGGCACAGTGGCTCGTGACTGTAAACCCAGCACTTTGGGAGGCCAAGGCAGGTAGATCACGCAGTCAGGAGTTCGAGACCAGCCTGGCCAACATGATGAAACCCTGTCTCCACTAAAAATACAAAAATTAGCAGGGTGTGGTGGCACACACCTATAGTCCCAGCTACTCAGGAGGCTGAGGCAGCAGAATTGCTTGAACCGAGGAGGCAGAGGTTGTAGTGAGCCAAGACCATGCCATTGCACTCCAGCCTGGGTGACAGAGTGAGACTCTGTCTCAAAAAACAAAATTTTTTTTCTGAAACAAAGACATTTCTAAGTGTCTAAATTACACTTTTTCTTAAAAACTCCAGAGTAGCTTCTGTTGCAATAGCAATTAATCAAGAAAACAGAATTTAGTCAATTGAGAAGAAAAAAACTTTTACTCGAAAAGACAAGGTCCTATTTTTTTGAGACAGAGTTTTGCTCTTGTTACCCAGGCTGGAGTGCAATGGCGCGATCTCGGCTTACCGCAACCTCCGCCTCCTGGGTTCAGGCAATTCTCCTGCCTCAGCCTCCTGAGTAGCTGGGATTACAGGCAGGTGCCACCATGCCCAGCTAATTTTTTGTATTTTTGGTAGAGACGGGGTTTCACCATGTTGACCAGGATGGTCTCGATCTCTTGACTTCGTGATCCACCCGCCTCGGCCTCCCAAAGTGCTGGGATTACAGGCTTGAGCCACTGCGCCCGGCCCATGAAGCCCTTTTAAATACAATCATGCACACATACATATACACATCTTGGATGTTAGCTTTTAATTAAGCTGATTCTCAACCACTGAGCTTCTAAAAACTATTTTTCTTTCCCGGTGGCCTCTTAGCAGGAGTGGACCCAATACCTCCCATTTTCTTTTTCTTTTGTTTTTGAGATGGAATCTTGCTCTGTTGACCAGGCTGGAGTGCAGTGGTATGATCTTGGCTCACTGCACCTTCTGCCTCCTGGGTTCAAGCGATACTCCTGCCTCTCAGCCTCCCGAGTAGCTGGGACTACAGGTGTGCGCCACCATGCACTGCTAATTTTTGTATTTTAACTTTTTTTTTTTTTTTTTTTTGAGACGGAGTTTCGCTCTTGTTACCCAGGCTGGAGTGCAATGGCGCGATCTCGGCTCACTGCAACCTACGCCTCCTGGGTTCAGGCAATTCTCCTGCCTCAGCCTCCTGAGTAGCTCGGATTACAGGCATGTGCCACCATGCCCAGCTACTTTTTTATATTTTTAGTAGAGACGGGGTTTCACCATGTTGACCAGGATGGTCTCGATCTCTTGACCTTGTGATCCACCCGCCTCTGCCTCCCAAAGTGCTGGGATTACAGGCTTGAGCCACCGCGCCCAGCCTAATTTTTGTATTTTTAGTAGAGATGAGGTTTCACCATGTTGGCCAGACTGGTCTCAAACTCCTTACCTCGTGATCCACGTGCCTCAGGCTCCCAAAATGCTGGGATTACAGGCGTGAGCCACCGCGCCCACCGAATACCTCCCCTTTTCAAGTTTACATGCTATCAAAGGGAAAAAGACAGACACACAAGTAAGTGGAGACAAATTTTGAACCACACAAAGGGGAGTGCACTCAGGCAAAACAGACTCAAAACCAACTCAAAACCTGATCTCAATGAAAATGCAAAGCGGGAGGATGCAAAGCGTGGCATCGTCCCGGTCTCTTCTGGCTGGCTTGCCAAATTTTGTTCCTGGATCAAACTGAGGGTTGGGGTTGCTATTTCTTGTGGCCCAACAATGAGATGCAGATGAACAGGGGAGAAAGAGAGTTTTTATTTCTATAAGCGGTTACAGGGAGAAGGCCTGGAAGTTATCACCAGACCAACTCAAAATTACAAAGTTTTCCAGAGCTGATATACCTTCTAAGCTATATGTCTATATGTAAGTGTGCATTCATCTAAAAATGCAAGTGATTAACCCCTGTTAATCTATAACTAAGGTCTGAGTCTTGAAGACCTGCTTCTGGAGCCTCAGTAAGTTTACTTAATCTAAATGGGTCCAGGTCCCAGGGTGATTACCCTTATCTTATCTCCTGCTAAATCATGGAGGTCTGCGGAGTTTCTTCAGACCCCCAATACAACTTGTTTAACGATGCTTTGAGGTTCAGGAAAGGCCTAGGCAAAACTCTTGGTGGGCTTTTGTTACATCCCAGCCTTTGTATAAGAGCACTGACTTGTAATATGTAGCTTAACCGCTCGGTCAGTACTGAAAGAGTCGTTACAGAGGCCTGTGTTAGTGAGACCTGCCCTGCTACACCCCTCGCCCTAAGTCAGGCTTGAGAAGCAGCAAAAAAGAACAGGACCAAGGATCCACAGGTTCAGCAACAGCATCGCTTTTGGTAAAATTTTTGTTGTTAGTAAGACGAGTATTAAAAAGATAAAAATACCCCTAGGCTTATGTAAGAAAAAAATTTTCAAAACTTAAAAATGATACAATTTTAGTAGAAAGCTCAAATACATGTTTTCTTGTAAAAGGAGTCCTTCTTGACCACCCACCTCAATGCCACACTACTCTCAGAAGATGTTTTTAAACAGTTTCTGGCCGGGCGCGGTGGCTCAAGCCTGTAATCCCAGCACTTTGGGAGGCCAAGGCAGGTAGATCACTTGAGGTAACAATTTGAGACCAACCTGCCCAATATGGTGAAACCCTGTCTCTACTAAAAAATAAAAATGGTCGGGCACGGTGGCTCAAGCCTGTAAACCCAGCACTTTGGGAGGCCGAGGCGGGTGGATCACGAGGTCAAGAGATCGAGACCAGCCTGGTCAACATGGTGAAACCCCGTCTCTACTAAAAATACAAAAAATTAGCTGGGCATGGTGGCACGTGCCTGTAATTCCAGCTACTCAGGAGGCTGAGGCAGGAGAATTGCCTGACCCCAGGAGGCGGAGGTTGCGGTGAGCCGAGATCGCGCCATTGCACTCCAGCCTGGGTAACAAGAGCGAAACTCTGCCTCAAAAAAAAAAAAAAAAAAAAAGTTTCTGAGTTTCCCTGCAGAGCATTTTTTTATGCATTGACATTCAGTACCAAAGATATGTACATTGTGGAGATTTTACATAAGGAAGAAACTGTACCTATTATTTTGCAATTCGCTTTTACTCCTTAACAACCTATTTTAGGGATCGTTTCATTTCAGTCCATTGGTTTGAAGGACTGCAGAGGATGGAGGTGCAGATTTCTTCACTGAGTCCTTTACTAATGGACACTTAGGCCATTTTCAGCTTTTTCCCTTAACAAACCATACATTCTTAACCGAGGCTAACAAAACACCAAAAAACCGGCATCCTATTAGCTCCAAAGGAACAAAACAAAGGAACGTCAGAATAGTTACCTCACATCCTAACACGCATTGCATATAGAGTACTGAGCCCTTAGCAACACCATGAAATCAGAGAGGGCTCTCAAGGTCATTTAGAATCAAACTCATACCACGACTTAGTCTCCGGGGGCAGCGCCCTGTACCACAGAGGTGCCATCTGCAACACCTCCAGAGATGGGGAGCTCACAATTTGATCAAGATACCTCAGTTCATCTTCCAGGAGCTCGGGCTGAAGAGAAAGGGGACAGGAACGGGCTTCACTTGTCTACTTTGTCTCTCCTTCCCCACTCCAAGGCTGCTGCTGGAGTTTGACCTACTGATCTTCAGCTTCGGACAGCTGCCGGTGGCGCTGGTGACCTGGGTGCCCATGTTTCTGTCCACCCTGCTGGTGCCGTACCAGGCCCTGCGGCTGTGGGCCAGGCCGGGGGCTGGGGGCACCTGGGTGCTGGGGGCGGGCCTGGGCTGCGCGCTGCTGGCTGTCCACGCCGTGGTCCTCTGCGCGCTGCCGGTCCACGTGGCTGTGGAGCATCAGCTCCCGCCGGCCTCCCGCTGTGTCCTGGTCTTTGAGCAGGTGAGGGCTGAACCATGCTGGGTAACCGGAGGGAATGGGCGGGCGGGGCCATCTCAGCGGAGGGGGAGCGCCCCAACGAGGGGGCGGCGCCCATGAGAGGGAGGGCACTGGAGAGGGCACTGGCAGGGGTGGAGTCCGTTAGGAAGGATTTGGGGCACCTGCAGGCTGGAAGGCAAACAGTGTGACACCGCCATCATAGGAGGTTGGCAGGGGGAAGACTCCGCTCTGGCCTCTCATCCCAGCAGCCTTAACTCATCCCAGCATGTGGTCGGCTATACAGCCATTCAACAGAGAAAGAGTATGGGCTCTGACCAGACAGATCTTACACTCTGCCTGCCTCGCAGAGGTAACCCGGAGCACAGAGAGGTTAAGCGATTTGCTTAAAGCCACACAGCAACTTGGCCTCCCTTCTACTCTGCCACAGGTTAGGTTCCTGATGAAAAGCTACTCCTTCCTGAGAGAGGCTGTGCCTGGGACCCTTCGTTCCAGAGGAGGTGAGGCCTTCATCTTGCTCAGCTGTGAACTCAGTCCTCTTGGCTGATTGAATGAAGCCAACAGGTGCAGGATCCTGATAAAAGCCCTGCCTTCCTAAGCCCGGGTTGCCCACCAGGCACAGCGCTGGCCCCCAGCTGGCATTCTCAGCTCCTGCCTCTGACAGACAGCACCTCTGTTACCCAGGACTTCTGGCACTTTCCTATTTCCTATTTTCAGCCCCAGCCTGTCATCCAGGCTTTGTTGTTCCATTTATAGAGCACAGACAGAGTACATTCAGTATCATTCTTAAGGGCCCTAGACTTTTTGGAATGACAAGTTGGCACTGGGCCCAAATTAAAGTCACCAGCTGCATTAGACCTTAACAAGAGAGTTGGGCTGGGCACTGTGACTCACACCTGTAATCCCAGCACTTTGGGATGCCGAGACGGGAGGATCGTTTAAGCACAGGAGTTCAAGACCAGCCTGAGCAACAGTGAGATGGGCTCTCACTTCAGAAAACGTTTTTAAATTAGCCAGGTGTGGTGGCTTATGCCTGTGGTCCCAGCTGTGTGGAAGGCTGAGGTAGGAAGATTACTTGAGTCTGAGAGGTTGAGGCTGCAGTGAGCCATGACTGTCCCTGCACTCCAGCCTGGGCAATGGATTGAGAACCCATCTCAAAACAAAACAAAAAAAAGTGAGAGACATGCAACTTTTTCTTTCACTTGAACACACTTGAAGACCATTTCAAGGTTATTAACTGGCCTAATTTCAATTTTTTTTTTTTTTTTTGAGATGGAGTCTTGCTCTGTCTCCCAGGCTGGAGTGCCCTGACACGATCTTGGCTCACTGCAACCTCTACCTCCTGGGTTCAAGCAATTCTCCTGCTTCAGCCTCCCAAGAAGCCGGGATTGCAAGGTGTTCATCACCATGCCCAGCTAATTTTTTTGTATGTTTAGTAGAGACGGGATTTCACCATGTTGGCCAGGCTGGTCTCCAACTCCTGAGCTCCAGTGATCCACCCACCTCGGCCTCCCAAAATGTTACGATTACAGGCATGAGCCACCATGCTGGGCCAATTTTTTTTTTTTTTTAAGAGACAGGATCTTGCTATGTTGCCCAGGCTGGTCTTGAACTTCTAGGCTTAAGCAATCCTCCTGCCTTGGCCTCCCAAAATGTTGGGATTACAGGACTGAGCCATTAAGCCTGGCCCCTATTTCCAATCTCGTGTCTCAGAGTATAGGAAGGCCGGAGGAGGGCAGGAGAGAGGGGAGAATGGCTGGTCAGTGGAGTGGTCAGAACACACAGAATTCATCAGTTAAGTTTGCTCTCTCATTTGGGTGTGTTTCATGATGCCTTAAGACAATTACAATAGTAACATTAAAAATCACTGATCATAGATCACTATAACACATAGAAGAAGAAGAAGAAAGTTTGAAATATTTCAGGAATTGCCAAAATGTGGCACAGAGACATGAAGTGAGCCCTTGCCATTGGAAAAAGGCGCTGATAGACTTGTCCCCGGCAGGGTCGTCACGAACTTCCAATTTGTGAAAAAGGCAATACCCAGGAAGTGCAGTGAAACAAGATGTGCCTGTATTAGGAGGTCTAGACAGCAGGGGAAGGAGAATGGGTTGTGGAACGTGTGCGTACCAAATGCAGCTCTGGCCACAGCAGGCCCTGCACTGGAAAATAGGGCACCTGAAATGAAAACAGAAGAGACGGAGTTAAAGAGCCAGTTCCGCTTCTGCCCTGCTTAGCTCCCCCAGCATCCGGGTCCTACATCCAGCTCCTTGCCTGTCCCCCACCCCTACCCTATCCATTTCTCCGCTCATCAGTCCCGCCACCCTTCCCCAGCAGCCCCCTCACCTCTGCCCTCTGCCCTTCCCCTTACTAATCCACCCCTCTCATCCCTCCCCAGGTGAGGGGATCCAGGCCGCCAGTTTCTCCAGCTACCTCTACTTCCTCTTCTGCCCAACTCTCCTCTACAGGGAGACTTACCCCAGGTAAGACCCTGCACCCCTTCCCCACACGCCCAAGCCCATCAGGAACCCCACCCTTCTACTCTCCCCTCCCTGAGGTCCTCAGTATTGCCTCAGGCACTGGCCGCTTTCTCGGGAAGCATCTCCTAATAAAGATGGGAAATACGTGCCTGGCAGATTACCCTGTCTCCTTGCCCAGCCTGTGATGACGCTAGGGCAGGCGTCCCCAGACTTTTTACACAGGGGGCCAGCTCACTGTCCTTCAGACCGTTGGAGGGCCGCCACATACTGTGCTCCTCTCACTGACCACCAATGAAAGAGGTGCCCCTTCCTGAAGTGCGGCAGGGGGCTGGATAAATGGCCTCAGGGGGGCCGGACGCCTGCGATAGGGTGAAAGTGGTAAACCACTTTCCTGGTTTACCCAGGGCTGTCCTGATTTGAGTACTGAAAATCCTACCCATCCTACACACCTTTGTTGATGTCCACGCTTAAAATCCACTTGTCATCTCTGTTATGGAAAGTTCAAAGTATCCTAGACCCCACCACCCTAGATAATCCTCCCAGGCCTGAGCAAAAGTCAGGGAACTGCGGAGAGAGGGCCCCACTCTGCGCCCAGGCTGAGCAGAGGACAACATGAAAGAATGAGAAACCTATTGTCCCCATTGCTGCTGCAGGACGCCCTACGTCAGGTGGAATTATGTGGCCAAGAACTTTGCCCAGGTGAGGAGATGGGGTAGAAGGGTGGACCTGTGACTCATGGTGGCGGAGAGGGAACATTTCTGGGAGGCCTGGAGAGGCAGTAGAAGGGTGGTGCCAAGGGAAGAGAAGGCCAGCGCTGCACCAGAGGCCCAATGCCACCGGCAGCTGCCAGCATCCCTCTCCAGTTACGTGTCCCCACGCCCCCTCTAGGCCCTGGGCTGTGTGCTCTATGCCTGCTTCATCCTGGGCCGCCTCTGTGTTCCTGTCTTTGCCAACATGAGCCGAGAGCCCTTCAGCACCCGTGCCCTGGTGCTCTCTATCCTGCATGCCACGTTGCCAGGTGAGCCAACTAAGGCAGGGCTGGTGCAGGCTGTGCCCCGGGGAAGGCTTATCAGGGAAGGACTTGTAGTTACCTTCCCTCTGTGTCAACACGTTCTCCTTCTGAGTATCCCCTCATGTCTGTCCCCTCCTATCAGGGCGCATTGCCATGGTCTCAGTTCAGACCATCCCCTCCCCCTCTGCACCAGCCTCCTAACCCATATCCCTGGCACCCAGATCTTTCCTCTCCCATCTATCCCTGACACTGCTGTGCAGGCGAACTTTCCTACTACAACTAATCATTCCCTACCCAGCTTCAAAAACTCTGAGGATTAAGCCAATGCTGGCACTTTCAGATCAGATTTGAACCCTTGGCGTGGCATCCGAGGCCCCTTTGAATGCAGCCCCAGCTTACCTTCTCATCCTGCCACAGCCCCTGAAAGACATGTATTTATGTGCCTCCAGGCCTTTGCTCATCACTGGCCCCTCAGCTTGAATGCCCTTCCCCCATTTTCAGCCGTGGAATCTAGTTTCTTCTTGGAGGCCCCTGGCTGAGATGCCTCCTCGTCTGGGAAGCCTTCCTTTTACAGCCATCAATTGCCATGATGGCTAATTGAGAAACTACCCATTTCTCTGCACTCCCAAACACATCACTGCCACCATACTTAGCTCCCATTACATTTGCCTTGGAAATGTGGTTGGGCATGTCTTTCTGTCTCTGTCTCTGCGTGTGTGTCTCACTTCAGTCACTCTGTGACCTCCCAATGGACAGGGACTTTGAGATTTATATTTATCCCCAACATCTGGCACAAAGTAGATGCCAAGTAAACGTACATGAACAAATGGGTGAATAAATGAATGTATGAAGACAGTGGCTCACACCTGTAATCCCAACACTTTGGGAGGCCGAAGGAGGAGGACTGCTTGAGGCCAGGAGTTCGAGACTAGACTGGACAATATAGTGACATCTCATCTCTACAAAAATATTTTAAAATAAAAATTAGCTGGGAGTGGTGGCTCACGTCGGTAGTTGCAGCTACTTGGGAGGCTAAGGTGGGAGGATCGCTTGAGTCCAGGAGTTTGAGGCTTCAGTGAGTGCATCATCCCACTGCACTCTAGCCTGTCTCGAAAAAAAGGAATTGCGTAAATTCATGAATTACCAATAAATGAGTGTTGGGGCCCTGGTTTCTGGGCAGGGACTCCTCAGAGCCCGGATCAGGGCTGCCTGAGGGTCCAGGCGGGCCAGTCTGACCTGCAGTCCCTTGTCCCCATCCACCAGGCATCTTCATGCTGCTACTCATCTTCTTTGCCTTCCTCCATTGCTGGCTCAACGCCTTTGCCGAGATGCTACGATTTGGAGACAGGATGTTCTACCGGGTGAGGCCTGGATCTAGGCCCGCTGGAAGCTGGAGGCGGGGAGCGCTGGGGAGGGATCTGGGGAAGACGGCGGTCAGGAACGAGTGTCACTTCAGCCACACTGTTCACCTCCCATAATAAGCGGTCCTCTAGATGTGGTTATAATGCCACCCCTCCACCTCCTGACAAGCCAGAGCTAACTGCTTTCGTGTGCATGGTACTACAGAATCTTCTTCTCCTGAGAGAGGGCGTAGGAGGGAGGACGGGGCCTCCACGTCCTGAGGAGGGAGCTGAGAGGGTGTCTGCTGTCCCTATTCTGCCAGGAGCCAGCCCTTCTGGAACACTGGGGTCGGTTGCAGGCAGAGGGAGCAGTGGGGAGGAGCCGGAACCCAGATGCTGGCTTACCTCTTTTTCCCCACTCTGACCCCACCTTCTCCAGGACTGGTGGAACTCAACGTCCTTCTCCAACTACTACCGCACTTGGAACGTGGTGGTCCATGACTGGCTGTACAGCTACGTGTATCAGGATGGGCTGCGGGTATGGCCCTGCAGACCCCTTCAGCTCCCAGTTAATGGCGGCTCTCCTTCCCTCCAGCTACCATGTGGAGTCTACGCCACTTAACCTTTTCTAGGCCTAAGAGCCCTTTTGATTTCATCTGCCCTCATTTTACCCAACCCAGTGGGTAGAAAGTCCTTGCAATCTTAATTTTCTTCCACCTTTATCCTAATTCCACCCTCTCCATAGGGCGTTGCTCCCCACCTTAGCCTTCTAAGGAACATAGCAATTTTCCAGCTACCAAGGGTGTGCACATATATTTAATCAGCACAGTAACCCTGAGAAGCAAGTATTATTATATCCTCGTTTTATTTTTTTTTCCTCTTTTTTTTTTTTTTTTTGTTGTGAAAAAATATACATGACAGGCTGAGTGCAGTGGCTCACGCCCATAATCCCAACACCCCGGAAGGCCAAGGCAGGGGGACCATCTGAGCCCAGGACTTCAAGACCAGCATGAGCAACATAGGAAGATCCCGTTTCAAAAAATTTTTTTAATTAGCCAGGCAAGGTGGACCACAGCTGCAGTCCCAGCAACTCAGGGGACTGAGGCTGGAGTGCAATGGCATGATCTCGGCTCACCGCAACCTCCGCCTCCTGGGTTCAGGCAATTCTCCTGCCTCAGCCTCCTGAGAAGCTGCGATTACAGGCACGTGCCACCATGCCCAGCTGATTTTTTGTATTTTTAGTAGAGACGGGGTTTCACCGTGTTGACCGGGATGGTCTTGATCTCTTGACCTTGTGATCCGCCCGCCTCGGCCTCCCAAAGTGCTGGGATTACAGGCGTGAGCCACTGCGTCTGGCCATATCCTCATTTTAAAATGGCAGCAAAGACCCGATGGGATAGTAGCATGCTCTTAAATAAGATTGACGTCACCCCTTCCGACCTCAGATCCCATATTCTTTCCAGCACACCACACTCCCCCTGGCTTCCTTAAGGTGGGGGCTCTTTGTGGAGCTCAGGAAGACTCACCCGTCACTCCTTCCCTCACCCTGCCAGCTCCTTGGTGGCCGGGCCCGACGGGTAGCCATGCTGGGTGTGTTCCTGGTCTCCGCAGTGGCCCATGAGTATATCTTCTGCTTCGTCCTGGGGTTCTTCTACCCCGTCATGCTGATACTATTCCTTGTCTTTGGCGGTGAGCTGGCCTCTGTGCCACTGGAGGGGAGCCATCCAGAGGGAGGCCTGGGTCCTGCTCCTGGAGATCCCAGTCTGATGGTGGGAGGCCTTGCCCCCAGGACTGAAGGCGAGGCTGCTGGGCCTGAGAGGTGGAGTGCGGAGGGACTTGGAAAGCAGGGAGGGAGGCAGCATTGGGAGGAGCCAAGGCGTATCCTGGGGCATGCGGGAAGAGGTTTCTGGTTGGAGAACATTTGAGAAAGAGGAGGACACTGGCTCAGCGTGAGATTCACGATATTGAAGGGCAAACTGAAGAATCCTGGTTTTACATGGGCAACTTGAGACCTCCATGAATTTCTGCACCTGGGTTTAAGATCTTCTCCAATGGGGCCTTCCTGTTCCATCTCTTCCCAATACCCTGAGATAGGAGGGAAGCCAGAAAGACAAGGCACAGATATCTGGAGCTGGAGTGAAAACCTTTCCTCCTGTACTAGGAATGTTGAACTTCATGATGCACGACCAGCGCACCGGCCCGGCGTGGAACGTGCTGGTATGGACCTTGCTGTTTCTGGGCCAAGGAATCCAGGTCAGCCTGTACTGCCAGGAGTGGTATGCACGGCGGCACTGCCCCTTAACCCAGGTAAGAGACCACAGCCCTCACCTAGCTTTCCATCCATGAGGACACACAGCCCAACAGCCAGCCCCTCCTTGTTCCCCAATCCAGCAGCCACGGTCAGGCACCAGGGCCTGGCTTGCGGGTGATGGACTCTCACGTCTTGGATGCACAGGGTGGGTCACCAGCAATGATCTCATTGATAACTTATTCTTCTCTGGCTCAGACAACCTTCTGGGGGCTGGTGACACCTCGATCTTGGTCCTGCCACATCTAGAGATCAGGGCACCCTTACTGCCCAGGTGACACCACCAAGTTCTCTGCCTGCAAAGCCTGGGACCAGGACTCTTCTCTGAATTCCCCAACTTGGCTCTGAGTCAAGGCGACCTGCACACAAGACCCCACCAGGGAATTGCAAGGGCTGAGATCTGCAGACCTGTAGGTAGCTGAGCACAGACCTCAGCATAGGGGTAAGAGGGGTGACTCTTCAGGCCCTATCCCCGTGGACTGGGTACAGCAGACCCTCCCACCCCATGACTCTCTTGAGGAGACTTGGAGGACTGTACGGATTCGATGAATGTGAAAGAACTCAGAGGAACTGGGGCCACCAAGGTTTGAAAAGGGTTTGGTTCTTGACTTTGTATTTCTTCCAACAGCAATAAACTCCGTCTCCCTTTTTATCCATTCATTCATTCATCATTTGTTGAAGGCTCGCTTGGATTTTTGTAGAGTTGTGTCTGCAGTGGCAAGACTTTGTGGTAGAATGGGTGAGAGTCTTGGAGGCCCCCGTCTTACCTTCTCTATGCCACCCCCATCTCCCAGAAACCTGACCTCTACCCCCTCTTCCACCTCTCCTCCAGCTCACACTGACTTTTCTAGCCCCTTTAATCCTTCTGCTCCTGGCAGTGCCTAGCACATTTTGAGAGGACAAAACATATCCTTCTTTCCTTTAGCAGACCCAGGAGAAGAATGTCTTGTACCGACCTGAAGCAAAGCTTTTAATTTCCTGCAGTTTCCACAGCTATTAAAGAGACATTAAAATTGGGAGTGTCCTGACTGAAGGAGACAGAAGGTCAAATTCTTCTATTCAAAACTGTTTCAGAAACCAGACTGAGGCTAGGTGCGGTGGCTCACGCTTGTAATCCCAGCAGTATGGGAGGCCAAAGGGGGCGAACCATGAGGTCAGGAGATCAAGACCATCCTGGCTAACATGATAAAATCTCATCTCTATTAAAAATACAAAAAATTAGCCCGGCATGGTGGCACGAGCCTGCAATCCCAGCTATTTGGGAGGCTGAGGCAGGAGAATCGCTTGAACCCAGGAGGTGGAGGTTACAGTGAGCTGAGATAGCACCACTGCACTCCAGCCTGGGCAACAGGTGAGACTCTGTCTCAAAAAAAAGAAAAAGAAAAAGAGCCGGGCGCGGTGGCTCAAGCCTGTAATCCCAGCACTTTGGGAGGCCGAGGCGGGTGGATCACGAGGTCGAGAGATCGAGACCATCCTGGTCAACATGGTGAAACCCTGTCTCTACTAAAGATACAAAAAATTAGCTGGGCATGGTGGTGCGTGCCTGTAATCCCAACTACTCAGTAGGCTGAGGCAGGAGAATTGCTTGAACCCAGGAGGCGGAGGTTGCGGTGAGCCGAGATCGCGCCATTGCACTCCAGCCTGGGTAACAAGAGCGAAACTCCGTCTCAAAAAAAAAAAAAAGAAAGAAAGAAAGAAAAGAAAAAGGAAAAATAGAAACCAGACTGAGTGGTCTGCCCTCCCCACACCAATTCCTTGCCTGATCTGGTTCTGGGGAGCTGTCTGTGTAAGAAAAGGCGGAAACATTAGCCTTGGGGGGCTGAGAACCGAAAAACCCAGGGTTCTAAGAAAGAGAGATGGGGTATTTCTTTTCTTTTCTTTTTTTAACATTTCAACAGTATATATGACATCTTTTTATGTCAATAAATATAGATCTATTTTGTCACTTTTATTTATTTTCATTTTTTAAATTAAATTATATTAAAATAAATAATGATGGGGTGTTGCTATGTTGACCAGAATGGTCTCAAACTCCTGGTGCCAAGCAATCCTGCCATCTCGGCCTCTCAAAGTGTTGGGATTACAGTTGTCAGCTACTGCACCTGGCCTTGTCATTTTTTTTTTTTTTTTTTTTTGAGACGGAGTTTCGCTCTTGTTACCCAGGCTGGAGAGCAATGGCGCGATCTCGGCTCACCGCAACCTCCGCCTCCTGGGTTCAGGCAATTCTCCTGCCTCAGCCTCCTGAGTAGCTGGGATTACACACACGAGCCACCATGCCCAGCTAATTTTTTGTATTTTTAGTAGAGACGGGGTTTCACCATGTTGACCAGGATGGTCTCGATCTCTCGACCTCGTGATCCACCCGCCTCGGCCTCCCAAAGTGCTGGGATTACAGGCTTGAGCCACCACGCCCGGCCAGCCTTGTCATTTTTAATAGTATCACATTGTGTGTGTGAGTGTGTGTGTGTGTGTGTATGTATGTATGTGTGTGTGTATGTGTGTGTGTATGTGTGTGTATGTGTGTATGTGTGTGTGTGTATGTGTGTGTGTGTGTATGTGTGTATGTGTGTGTGTGTGTGTGTGTGTACTATAATTTAACTAATTACATATATTTCAATCGTTTCCAGTATTTTGCTCTTATAAACAACTCAGGGTACCTTCACCGACAAGAAGGACATCCTAATGTAGATATACATCTTTGTGCACCTTCCTAAGGGAATTTTCTAGATACAGAATTACTGAGACATTAGATGGGCTTACTTCAAATGTACACACTGCCAAACTTCCCTCTTACATGAATTTATATTATATGATATTGCCCATTTCCCCACCTCCCTGACAATGCTGGGTTTTGTCTAATTTTTAATTTTTGGCAGTCTGATAAGCAGAAAATTATATCTATTTTTTTATTTTGCCTTGCATTATTATCATTACTTTAAAAAGTTAAGTATATTTTCCTGTGTGCACTTACCATTTTAATTTAATATTTTATTATTTTTAAAAGGTTCATTTATTTATATCTATTTATTTATTTGTTTAAGACAGGGTCTTGCTCTGTCACCCAGGCTAAACTACAATCGTGCAATTTTGACTCACTGCAGCCTCTACCTCCTGGGCTCAAGCAATCTTCCCACCTCAGCCTCCCAGGTAGCTGGGACTACAGGCAAGTGACCCACACCTGGCTAACTTTACATCTATCTAGCTAGCTAGCTATTTATTTTTGAGACGAAGTCTCACACGGTTACCCAGGCTGGAGTGTAGTAGCATGGTCTCGGCTCACGGCAACCTCTGCCTCCCAGGTTCTCCTGCCTCAGCCCCCCACGTAGCTGGGTGTTCAGGTACCCGCCACCATGCCCAGCTAATTTTTGTATTTTTAATAGAAGTGGGGCTTCACCATGTTGGCCGGGCTGGTCTCAAATTCCTGACCTCAAGTGATCAGCCCACCTTGGCCTCCCAAAGCGCTGGGATTACAGGGTGAGCCACCGCTCCCAGCCTTGTCGCATATTCTTTATTTGCTGGTTTGTTTCAGGATCCAAATAAACTCTATCCCTTGGAAGTGGTTTCATTTCTTTTCATCTATGGATTCCTATCCCATCTCCTATTTTAACTTTCTTTTTATATACGATAAAACGTAAAGATCTTAACTGTTTAAGTCAATTAGGTTCGTATATACCCATGTAATCATCTCATCAAAACATGACAGAACATTACCACATCCCCAGAAAGTTCTCTCATGCCCTTTTCTAGTCAACTACCCAATCAAAGACACTCACTTTCTAATCTACCCTCATGTATTAGCTTTACCTGTTTTACAACTTTGTATGAATAGAAATCTACAGCATTTACTCCTCTATGAAAGGCTTGTTTCACTGTTAACATTTTAAAGATTAATCCATGTCTTGCATATGTCAATTGTTTGTACCTTCTTATGGCTCAGCACTATTCCATTTATGAACATATTACAATCTGTTTCTTCCCCTTTTGATGGGCATTTGGGATGTTTCTAGTTTGGAGTTATTATGAATAAGGCTGCAATAAAGATTCAGGTGGATACTTGAGAAGAATGCATACTCCGTTCTCTTGGGCAGAGTATTCTTAAATATGAATTAGGTCAAGTTGTTTGATAAAATTGTTCAATATTCTTTTCTTTTTTTTTTTTTTTTTTTTTTTTTTTTTGAGACGGAGTTTCGCTCTCGTTACCCAGGCTGGAGTGCAATGGCACGATCTCGGCTCACCGCAACCTCCGCCTCCTGGGTTCAGGCAATTCTCCTGCCTCAGCCTCCTGAGTAGCTGGGATTACAGGCACGTGCCACCATGCCCAGCTAATTTTTTGTATTTGTAGTAGAGACGGGGTTTCACTATGTTGACCGGGATGGTCTCGATCTCTTGACCTCGTGATCCACCCGTCTCGGCCTCCCAAAGTGCTGGGATTACAGGCTTGAGCCACCGCGCCCGGCTCTTTTTTTTTTTTTAAGAGAAACTTTATTTATTTATTTATTTATTTATTTATTTATTTATGAGACGGAGTTTCGCTCTTGTTACCCAGGCTGGAGTGCAATGGCGCGATCCTGGCTCACCGCAACCTCCGCCTCCTGGGTTCAGGCAATTCTCCTGCCTCAGCCTCCCGAGTAGCTGGGATTACAGGCACGTGCCACCACGCCCAGCTAATTTTTTATATTTTTAGTAGAGACGGGGTTTCACCATGTTAGCCAGAATGGTCTCGATCTCTCGACCTCGTGATCCACCCGCCTCGGCCTCCCAAAGTGCTGGGATTACAGGCTTGAGCCACCGCGCCCGGCAGTTTTTATATTTTTTTAAATTTGTTTTTTTTTGTTTTTGTTTTTGTAAGGATTGGGTTTTGCCATGTTGCCAGGCTGGTCTTGAACTCCTGGGCTTAAGTGATTTACCCACCTCAGCCTCCCAAAGTGCTGGGATTACAGGCGTGAGCCACCATGCCTGGCCCATTCTGGATATTTCACATAAATGAAATCAGGCATCAGTGGTGGGGATGGCTGTAGGCCGGGGTTGCTGACTGCCAAGCTAGGAGGAGGCCCAGTGCCCAGAATCTCGGTGGGTGCTGCCCAAGCACAGCCTGTGCCACGCTCCTCTCCACCACCTCCTCAGAGCAGTCTGACCATCTGCACGAGATGTGCCTCCACCTCCGTGAGGACCTACAAGTAGGACACTAGTGGCTGCGGGGCATGGAAGTTGATCTGAGATTTTGATGAAAAGCAACAGGAAGCAAATGAAATGCCGGCACAGATGGAGGAGGAACTACATTATGGACCCCTATGTTTCTGTAACCCCATCATGTCTAAGCTTCAAGATTATCAGAAGGACCTTGCCCAGCTCCATCCGGAGGTAGGAAGTACACCTTTAACAGTCATGCCTGAGGGCTGAGGAGACGTGAAAGATGGTACATGGGCTGTAGAGAATGAGCATATGAATAGGCTATAATCTCAAAGGGCAATGCTTCTCCAAGGCACCAAAAGCCTGAGCCGGGCCATCTAAGAGACTGACCAGATTGGCTCAGAAATCACAGGAGAGCTGAGAAAACAGCAGGACCAGTGAGAACATACCAAGGGTACACTGGGAAACACAAGTGAAAACGTGTGCAAAAGTCAAAAGATCCTCCCATCAAGGTCCAGAAAAAGGACAACCAATAAGCTTC